CCATTGTCTCTGATCGAGACTGTACTTTCACAAGTTCTTTTTGGCGTCACTTGATGAGGTTGCAAGGCTCCACTCTCTGTTTTTCATCAGCTTACCACCCCCAGTCAGACGGTCAAACAGAAGCACTCAACAAAAGCCTCGAGCTCTATCTCCGATGCTTTGTGCATGAGCATCCACGACATTGGCTGCAGTATTTGCTGTGGGCGGAATACTGGTACAATACCTCGTTTCAAACAGCGATTGGCATGGTTCCTTTTAAGATCGTGTACGGGAGGGATGCCCCACCAGTATTACGGCATACCACTCAAGAAGATACACCAAAAGATGTCTACCAACAGCTCCAGCAGAGGGATGAGATATTGGAAACACTTAAGAAAAACTTACAACGAGCTCAAGAAAAGATGCGATACTATGCCAATCAGAAACGAACAGACATCGAATTTCTGGTGGGGGACTTAGTTTGGGTCAAACTTCAACCGTACCGACAGCACTCAGTCGAACTTCGAAAATACTAGAAACTTGCTTTACGATATTTTGGCCCATTCCGTGTTCTGGAGCTCATCGGCAAGGTCGCTTATAAATTAGAGTTGCCTGCAAATGCTAAGATCCATCCCGTTTTTCATATTTCTCTTCTGAAGAAATTCGTCGAGAACAATGAGTTACAGCCATCAATTCCCCTTCCTTTATTATCTCTGCCGAAAGGACCTGTGGTACAGCTTGAAATTATTCTGGGTACACGTTTCATCCAACAAGGCGACAAGTGGGTGCAGCAGTGCTTGGTTTAGTGGAATGGCCCCACCCCAAATTCGTGGGAAGATAGAGATCGGTTGTTGAACCTGTATCTTGACTTGGACCTTGAGGACAAGGTCCTGGTTAATGGGGGGAGTGATGTAATGAACGGAGCGGACGGCCCAATACAAGGTCCCATAACAACCCATGAAGAAATGGATGTTGTCAGGCCCAGACGAAGTCAGAGAATGAGAAGAAGAACCTGGAAGCTGAGGGACCTAACCGAATCAGCATAAAAGGATCAGAGTTGGTTAGAGAGGGCATGATTGGTTTTGATTCAGAATCTCTCTCCGTGGTCTTTCTCTCTCCTCTGTGGCTTCTTTCTGTTTTTCTCTCTGATAATCCTTTCGACCCTGTTGCATTACCAATTACATCGCTCTTGCTTGATATATATTTGTATTGGCTGAGGTTACAACTGTAACAGATTCATTAATAGAAATATACATTCAGCCTCTTGATTTTGTGATCATAACATTCCATTACTAAGTAAAACAGATTTTACGACCAAATACATGGTGCAAGAGACCGATCAGCTGGAATCAATGATGACTGAGACGAGACAGAGCCTTGTAATTTAAGTAGACAAACTAAAGTCATATTGTGAGGACACAAATCGTGGCCCAGTGGGAATATTACTTTCGTCTCAGCCGTTAGAAACAATATATATGCATATATATCATAGCCTTGAAAATCTTAATGTGGACCGCTTTTTCATGGATTCCAACTTTTCTGCAGTTGTTTTGCTCAATTATGCTTTGGAAAACAGAAATGAATTGCGGATCGGCGTGGTTTTAATAAAGAAAGAAAAACGAGGCTGTGCAATATACCTTAATTATTAGGCAAGTTTTAATTTGAAAGTAAATACTACTACTTCTTGTCTTTAAAATAGGAGGTGCTTAATTAATTTGAGTTGATTAAAATTTTTTTTATAAATTTGTCAATCATAATAAATGTGACCCAATCTCCCTATAATACTCGTGTAACATTTTATAAGTTAAATTAGTTTAGATGAAAATGAGAAGTATAAGAAACAAATTTAGTGGATGAGGTTACATGCTTCCTGTCAAAAAAGAAAGAAAATTAAAGGACGCGTTTGTTTGTCTCTTTTGTGTTTCGTGTTCTGGATCACATTTTGATTTTCTTCTTCTCCTTCTTTCAAAAACCAAAAAGGAGAGGGGGAAAAAACAGAGGGATACGTGTTTTCTTTGTTTCTTTTTAATATTTCTTGTTATGGACCATTTCATCATCATCATTCTAAAACCTCTTGCTCCAAGAAAGCAGTCATGAACCTCATCATTCCTAGACACAGAAAAGCTAGTTTTTAACTTGAGACTCATTGGATAAATTTGTTTGGAAAACCAATTACCTCCATCCCTTTGACAAAAGCTCTTTAATTTTCATGAACAAAACCAGGGTGCTGCATAATACAGCACGCAAGTGAGAAGAGACACATTTATAACATATTTTAATATTATTAGTGTTGAAAAATAATGATGACGAGTGGATTCAAGACTGATCAATTTTACACCAAATAATGAGAACATTTAAAATATATAATGACCATCCAGTCCTAAATATTAAACAAAATTAACTAATTCATGAAAATTAAAAAAAAATCGTTAAGTTAATTATTTCTTATGTTAAAAAATGCAAAGTAAATTTTGTGTGGTGGGTCTAAAATCGAAGTTCCAAAATTAATCAGTGAGAACCAGGAGAGAACATGTTTTGATGTGATGAAATTAGGGACATTTGCAGGACCCACAAAAAACCATTAGCATCTTAAACAGAAGTTATTTATAAATAATCCAATGCTAGAGTTTTACACCATTAATAAAATTCTCTTTAAACTGAAAAGAAAGCATAAAAACAAAGTGATAAAGCATTTAGGACTTGTTTGGTTGGAGGAGAAGGATAGGAGAGGGGAGGGGAGGGAAAATGAGCCCTTCCTCCTCGTTTGGTTAAAAATTTTGAAGAGGAGGCAACCCAAAATGTTCCCTCCCCCCCCCCCAAAATTTTAGCACCCCCTCCCAAATTGGAATTTTTTGAAGAGGAGCTAAATTTTTAGACCATCATCCCTTTATGATTTTTTTAATATCCACTACTACCCATAAAATATATTATTATAATATTTATTTTCAATGAAAATATATTATCCTAAGTGAAAAATAAAAAATATATAAATTATTATAATTAAAAAATATATGATAATAAAAATTAATTAAACAAAAAATTATAATATTATAAAATTAATTGTTTTTTATAAATATATTATTTATTAAATATATTTTAAAACTGAAAAAAGCATAGCCTAAAGAGAATAAAATTTTAATTTTTTTAGAGGATATAAAATTTGTTGATTTGATTATTTCAAATATATTATTATATTAATTAGAATAAAAAAATATTGTACCAATTTTTTAATGCACATATTAACATGATAAGAATGAATTTTTATTAAATTATATAATTTAAATTAAGTTGTAAATTAATTTATACAATATATCAATAAAAAATATAAACTAATATGTAAGGTAAAATGGTAAATTGATTACTACTATCCCTTTCCTCCTCTTCTTGAACCAAACAAGGATTATTAAATATCCCTATCTCTTTTTCCTTTTAATCAAACCAAATAAGGTGAGGATAAAATCTTCCCCGCCCCACTCTCCCATCCCTTCCCTACCCTCCCTTCAAACCAAACAGACCCTTAAAATAATTCCATATCCGGACGATGTCTATTCGTGTTTCTTCTTGCACTTGGCTTTCCTTCGGCGGTGTTTCTTCTTGTACTTGCTTTTCTTTCAGCGGTGTTTCTTCAAATTGTTCCGCATAGAATGGCCTGGGGAGTGGCACTTTAGAAAAACTGGCTTTGATAAGATGCCAGTAGAGCGGGATTTGTGTTGCTCCGTAAAACCAGAGAGGGAACAAAGTAAAACCAAAGTACAAGGGGACATACTTAGACCGCTTGTTTAGGGGGCCAATAAGTTCAAAGGTATGCGCAGCACAGAAAGAAATCAACATGGACACAACTGAGAGAAACAAGGAGCACAAACCCAGGCACAGAATCAGTGGCAGACGTCGACGGTAATTCTCGGGCCTATCACTTTGGGAGCTGTGAACAGCGAGAAAGGCGGCGAGGGAAGTGACGGAGGAGCAAAAGGAAACCAGTGCTGTGATAGCAAACACGTTGAATTCAATACGAGAGCCTACAATCGGCTTGCCACTGTCTCCGTCATAGCCGCCCGGAATCTGGTAGCACGTTGCAAAAGTAACACTGGAAATCAGCGTCGTCGCCACAATATAATTTCCCGACATTCCCTTTATCCACTCGTAACCTTTTTGCATCAGATCACGGTGTTCCTCCTCGAACATCATTCCCGGACTTTTGCCTTCCAGATTTCCCCGTTCATTGAACTCCGGCAGCATCATATTCTGCACGTACTGAATGCGTACATACATACATACATATATTTCAACTGTTAGTGATAGAATTATTAATGAATTTTAACCGAATGTCATGTTTGAAGACACCTCCATGTAGAGTGTATATTGTTCTAATTACACGTAATATTATTAAATTTTAGCTAAAGTATACATCTGATCTTTTAACTTTACAGATTCAATTTGGTCATTTAATTTTGAAAAATATATTTGTAGTCTATTAACCGTAACATTGCTCTCAAAAAAAAAAAGATAATAAGATTTTAAATGTTGATAAAACATTCCCAAATATTAACATAATATATTTAATTTTTAAAATAATTATGATTATTACAAAAAATTATCAGTTAGGTCGATATTTTAGAATTAAAAGATAAAATGCATGCTTTTTTAAAACTAAAAGACCAAATTAAAACCTTATATAAACTTAAAGCACTAAATATATATTTTAATTTTAAATTTTTTTCATGAATACATGATTGCACCGTTGATTTATTATTTATGAGAACAATTCATCAAAATATAGAGTACAGGTAAACTCCAAGAGTTAATTATTAGATTTAATTTCAAGATATAAAAGGTGCCTAAAGTCATCATACCTGAAACCAGTGAACTTCCCATTGCATGTGAACGGCTGGCATAGGTGCATTCCTATGACGAGAAAGCTTTGCAACCAAGTGCAAGGCAGTATTGCCATGGACGTCGGTTGCATGGTGGAGATTCCGATTCCAGATGGATTGCTGCTTCCTGAATTTCTCCAATAGGGTGGACTATCTCTCTTCCACCGCCACCAACATCACATTCTTCTTCTCATCACTTTCATCCTCAATTGCAAATGGCTTTTTTTCCAAGATTGCCAGCACCAATTCGATTGCACCATATTTTGTTGCTCTCAACAATGGTGTCCATCCTAATAATGATGATGCTGCATGCACATACATACATATATCTTACTTATTATCAATTACCCACACGTAAACAAAAATACCAAAATTAATGAAATAAAGTCTTTTTTTTTTAATTTATTTTTAGGATCCAAGTTCCTTTATATGAAAGACCTAGCATTGGTAAGTTCGCCGGATGATCGTGGTCCAGCACCAACAGCTCCCTCTCCGTCAAACTATCATAAAAAGCGTCACTGTCTAGCAGTCGTTTCATGATCCGCCAACCAAACACATGTCTCCTTTTCTTCTCTGCCAACCATAGACAGACATGTTAGATTTTTAGGTAACTTTTTAATTATGATTTATAAAATACAGAGTAAGTATGTGTCAGTAGTTTTGTTCCGATGACTTATGTAAAACGTGATTAAATGATTACAAACAAGCCCCCCCTACTTACCATATGTAAATCCCTTTTAACTGATTTTCATGTATCAAGCGGTGATAGTTTAATTATAATTGAATATGTCTTAAATTGATTAATTTTTTTCTGCAAGTTTATTCTTATTAAAATTCTCTCCCTGTATGTATAAATCATTATTAACTCTGAATCTTCTTTCTTTCTTTTCTTCCTAGTGATAATTAAATAAGGTTAAGATTGAAAAAAAATAATTATTAATAAGTAACAGCCCTCTAAATGAACTTATGTTTCGAACCAAAAATATTTCTTCTATAAGCAACTTATAATAAGGAGTCGAATATTGGTAAAAGAATTATTATTTATTTATGCTTCGAGGCGTGCGAGTGCAGGTTCAAAAAAGATCTATTTAAGCATTAACATCAATAACTAATTACCCATGGTACTCCTTAAAATGGAGAATCCGAAAGGAGCTTCAGGCGTGGGAAGCTGATCAGGCGGTCCATCATGATCCAAATCTGAACGCCGCAAACAGGGAGGCCAGGGAAGAATCGGACGAATCGTGATGACTTCGGAAATAGAAGTATGATCATTACGTCAGCAACGTCGTTTCAATTAATTCTCTATTCATGTAATAATACTATAATAATGATACTACTAATGATAATAATATTTTCAATATTAAAATGTACATTTAGTCTTTTAATTTTATATAATATTTTATTTTAATCTCTTAAATTAAAAAATTATATTTTTAGCTTTTAAATTATAAAATTTTTAATATTAAATGATAATTTTTTTATATAAATTATTGTTGTTTTAAAAATTAAATTTAATATGTTTATATTTAAGAAAGTTTTATAAACATTCAAGATCTCAATATTATTATCTTTTATTAACACTTTTAACGTTAAAGGATTAAAAAAATACTTTTTAAAATTAAGCGACTAAATTGAAATCTTATATATGGTTGAAAGACTAAAAATATATTTTAAATTAACTAATTCCAAATACTATCTCCAGTTGTTAATATAGAAGTCGTATAACTAATTATAAAAATTAAAAAAAAAAATTAAGCTGGTCAATTTGTGATAGATGTGTATTAAATTTTTTCTAAATTATCTTCTCTAGTAATGTGCATTGGAATTATTTCTTTGTGAAACCTCCTACAATTAATAGAAATATTTTAGATAAAATATTATAAATTTAGAAAAATAAATTAAGATCTTATATTTAGGATAAAATTCAATCCCCTACTTAAGCATTGGATGCAGTATTATATATGACTAGATGGAGTACATCTTTTTGAAAAGTTAAGGTTAGGTTTTTAACTGTAATTTTCAGTGTTGGATAAAAGAAAAAAGAGAGCTTATAAATTGAAACATAAGTGCTTTAATTTGTCACATAATTAAATTGAGATCACTTACAGGGGTACCAAAGCCTCTCCCACCAGCTCAGGTGAGTGGCACTCCTGAATGCCGAAGGAATAGAGGCCAGGACGTCCAGAGGTGCCTGCCCTTTTTCATTGATGATGGAAGCCAGGTCGGGGATGTGACGCATTATTGCGAATGATAATTCTGTATTAATGATCAATTCAAGTCAATTATATTACTATAAAAAGCTAGATAGCTAACTAATTTATGAATATTATAAAAACCAATTAAGTTACTTATTTGTAATAAGTATATGTTATTTTTTCTAAAATAACTTTTTTAGTCACGTACATTCGCATTACAATAGTAACTCCTTAACACGTGCAATCATTATTTTAAGGGCAAAGTGAATAAATATTTAGAAAAAAATAGATTTGAGTCTTATATTTATGACTCAATTAAATTTCTAACTAACTCTTATATTAAGAATCGGAAGTAGTATACACTCTAATACCTTTTATCAAGTAAAGGATTTCATTAATTAACTAAAATATTAGTCCTAAACAAACAATGCCTCTAGTCCAAAATATATAAGTCCTTTTTAACCATACCATCATTACTAGAACTATGAAAGAACAATTAACTTGTAACTAAACCCGTCTTCGATTAAAATTTCCCCTCGCTTTTACCCGTATTAAGGATTTGAAAGAAAGAGAGAAAAATATGAGGAGTCATCTTTAAGCATCAATTAAAGGGATAAAATTAGCAAATAAATATTAATTATTCTCAAAATAATTTATACTATGGATTAAAATTTTTTCCTAAAAAGTAACTTACATTTTAAAGCGAAGGGAGTAGAAGAACTAATTAACTAACTTATTTTTAAAGTAAGCAAAGTCACTGACCGAAGTACTTTCGTTGAATGGTTACATGAAGTACAGAATCCCCATTGGGCTTCATGTAGGGAGCTGTAGTATGCTCAGGTTCTACAAAGTCACTGAGAAAGTGGAAGGTCTTCGGGTGACCATGAACAGCAGCCAGGAACACAGGCGTCTCTCTCTCTTTGTTACGCTCCAGAACCTTAATAATCAACATTCAATATCATCATCATCATCAATGAATTTTAAATTTTATATAAAATAAGTGACATCCCAATATATATTATGAAATAATGCAACTTTAAATATTTTGGGTTAATATAATCTTTAGTATTTCAAATTTGTTCTCATTTTAGTTTTGATCTCTCAAATTTCAAACTATATGTTTTCGTCCTTTAATGAGTAATATGGTCTAAGTTTTTATTGAATTATAGGGACTAATATTTTAAATAAAAAAAGTTGAAAGACTAGAACCAAAATAAAAATAAACTTGAAGGACCAAAAATTGTATAAACCTAAATTTTTTAATGATTTTTTTTAAAATATCTAACACTGCACAGTTGATACATACATACATACATATATATATATAGAAATTGTGAAGAATTCAAAACTGCAACATTAGATATCAGAATGTCACCTACTTTTTGTAAAATCTAATAATGAATAGGTTAAAAAAACATGTCAAAAGTTGAAGCCCCAGGGATGGATGCCCCTTGCCCCTCTCTATGCCAGTTACACTCTGCAACGTTAATAATTAAGTGAAGTATTCCAACCACTGTTTTATTTTGCTTTAATTACACATATTTTCTCTCAAATTTAAAAACATATATTTTAGTTCAGACTATTAATATCGTCAAAAAATCTTTTTAAAAAAAATTCATGAAGCATGTTTTTAATTAAAAACAGAATAGTTAAGATTCAATCTCATCATGCAGATGCGTGCGCATCATGTAATCAATAAAAGAGATTAAATTAATTACGGCGCGGGTTATCTGTTCATCGGTGGGAAGGGCATGGAGGATGCTGCGACACAACAAGGGAGAGCCCCTAGAGGCGGCGCAGTGAAGGGGAGTGTTGCCCCACTGATTCCTGGCTGACACAATCTCCATGACGTCAAATTCATGTCTCCGCATTTCATCCAACAGCTCATCGACGACGGCGGTTGGTGCCCTATAAGTGATAGCTGCGTGCAGTAAAGTGTCAGCCCACTTGTTCATCTTGGCCAGCCACAGCTCTGCACATGGTGGCAGGTCCCCCACTGTGCGCAGCACAGCAACCCAATCTCGTATCTTTACCCCAAGACGCATTTCCCTAATTGCCTGATTCCTCTCAACCTCCCCAACTCTTTCTTTTTTGGTCCAAACCTCCCCAATTAAATTCATCTCTCCGATGTTTATAGACAGACAGACAGATAGACAGACACAGACACACTCTTCAACAAAAACTCTACAAAAGAGATCTATATATAGGCTCCATCTAACACACGCTACTATTGCCGTTTCTTATGTATCACTCCGTTTCTATTTATAACTTATTTATACCCCCAAGCCTGTAATTCCAAAAATATATTAAATTGGTTTTTTTTTTTTGCATTTATCTTTGTTAAAGAAAGGGTATTAACAATATATTTTAGGGAGAATTGTAATAAAGTCTGAAGAAAAAGATATAATTACCAAAAAATTTTAATGACAACTGAGCAGACTATAAGCCTATAATGATAAGTTCGATAATAGAAAATGACAACTTCTAATTTGTTATTAGAACCTTTTAGTATTTATTTTCTTTTTTTAGGATCTCATTATAATTATCCCTCTGCTTTATATTCTCTCAAATATTTATCTTATCTCTCTCTACATTTAGGATAAAAAAAAAATCAGAGTAATAAATTGCCCCACAAATTACTTATATTTAAGAAATACTCCTCCGGTCCTTAATATAGGACCCAATTCTTAAATTGGTTTTGACCTTAAATATAAGATCTATTTCTCTTATTTATCAATTTTCTTTAAATTACCCCTATGGATACGCTCTCAACCCTAATCACGTAGAAAAGGGAAATGTGATATTAAGAAAGATGATTATGGTGTTTTAGGAAAAATATATCACTTTTCTTATTGTTAACTAACTTACCTAACTTCCTTAATATAATTAAATTAGTTAAATGGATCTTATATTAAGGACCGGAGGAGTACTTTTTTCCTACAAATAACTTATAAATAGTAACAGAGTAATATGTGTGTGTATAGCTTCCTTATTTCTTGTTGCTCCAAACAAGTCTGCTCCCGTTCTTCACTTCTGGCCAAATTATTCTTTTCTTGGTGTAAGACAAAATAAGGCAAACAAGGGCGTTAAAAGGACCCTGCCATCTATCAGTTATATGCTGGACTTTATTGATTACCTGTCTCATTAATCATTCCGTTTCTTTTCAATGAAGAATAATTATCAAAATCATACTACTCAAAATATTAGTTAAATTTAATTAAAAGCAAAAAATAATTTTTTTCTTACTTATGAAGAAAGTAAAAGAGAGATAATGAGTAAATATTTAGTATAAATAAGAATAATTTATTGCAAATGAATAATAAGTGAAGTATAGATATATAATTAATGAGGGTAAAATGAAAAATTTAGTTTAAAAGTTTAGACAAAAAATTTATTACTTTTAATCCACGACGAGAGAGATTGTTGCCTTAAAAGAAAAAATTAGAGGAAGGATCACTTGACATTATTGTACGTGCATTATTTGTAAAACCATAGCCGGCTACATCCAACTAAGGCCCTGTTTGGATAGCAGGCCACCCAAACTATGGTTTGGGGAAAAAAAACCCAAACAGGCGCAAATTATCTGAAACCATAGTTGGGGTCAAAACCATGGTTTTAGAACCCAAAACCATGGTTTCAGGAGAAGTAAATTCATTCTGCTTTTGACTCAAATTGGAGAGTATGATTGTGCTTATTAGAGTAAATCTGAACAATAATATGACTTTAACACCCCTTAATTAATTTTTTATAAACATATTTAATCTTATATCTTATAAATAAATATACACATATTAATTATTTATTAATTACATTATCTTATGTGTTATTAATTATGTTGGTAAAAAATATATTATTAACAATTTTATTCCTTCAAATTAAAATATATCATACAATCTATGTTTTATGTAATTATCATATTAACTTATGCTTTTTTTAATAATTTGTACATATAAAAAATGCTTTTGATAACAACTATCCAAACACTCTCACTTCTCAGAATCACTTTTTTACAAAATCTATTTTTTCCAGAATCTATTCTCCAGAAGATATTCTCCAAACCATGGTTTGGTTTCATCCAAACACTCCCTCAGGACGAAACAAAAATTAAAATGTTGACCTTCCACATGAAATATTACTTAGGCCATATTATATTATATTATATATATATCATAAATAATCACAGGACTCGACTCAGTTTGTAATTTTACACGAGACACGTATGCTCAACAACAAATTAACGAGAGAATTAAGACGACAAAATAATGGGAAAGTAACAAAAAAAATATCCATTGAATTTCAAAGAGATATATAAATTATACTGACCACTTTTATAATAGTTTTGACTACTATTGTGGTAGTTTTAATAAGTTAAAATCTATCAAAATTACTTATTTATCATTTTGAAATTCAACAAGTATTTTTTTGTCATTTTTCCTGAAAATTTGTGATATGATTAAATGAAAATAAAGACTGCGTGGATAATACATGCCATATTATTATTATACATTGATCAAATGATCAATTCTATTAAAATAAAAAGATAATTACATAAAATTTGGTGATATTTCCTGATCTTCTATTCTAATGGCCAATGTACAATTGCATATGAAAATATGTATTAGAAATATATAATCTTTACATTTATAAACTTTCGTGTATATATGAGGGCAAGCCAAAGGAAAGCAGAATTAGCTAATTTGTATTTGCATTTTAATTGTGACATTTTGATTAACAGAAATTCCAAAGGAATCAGATGCTTCCTACTTTTCTTTTTGTCTGTCTCACTTGCTTGGAATGCAATCCATCCATGTTCTTCACTTTTATCGCATCATGACATCATCCATTGAAGACAAGTCAACAAGTGGGCAAAAAATAATTCCTCTCTGAAAAAAAAAAAAACAGAGAAAGGGAAAGACAATTAGTTTCTTCTTTTTGGATCATCATCCCTTCATTTCTCTTTTCGTGTTTCACGTTTCGGATTTGATTTTATTCTTTTTTTTTAAATTTCACAGACAGATTTATCTGTAAATTATATAAAACATATTAAATAATGAACTTGAATGGAACAAGGTCCTATTTAATTAAATTGGTAATTTCTTTTAAAAAAAGTTGCCCTCATTAAAGAAACGCTATTAACGATATGTTTTAGGAAGAATTATAAAGTCTCAAGGAAGAAATATAATTGCTAAAAAATTCTAATGACAATTGAACAGCTTGTAATGATAAGTTCTATAGTAGAGAATAATAATTTCTAACTTGTCATTGGAATTTTTTGATATTTATTTTCTTTTCTTGAAATCTCATTATAATTATTCCTATGTTTTATATTTCTTTCATATATTTATCTTATTTCTCCATACATTTATAAAGTCAATAGGAATAAAATTAAAAAAAATTTATTAATTACCCTACAAGTTATTTATATTTATAAAATAACTTTTTTTCTATAAATGACTTATAAATAGTAACAAAATAATGCAAACAAGGGCGTCGCTCCATAAACAACCCTGCTCCCTTTCCACGCGTCTGGCCAAATTATTCTTTTCCTGATGTAAGACAAAATAAAGCAAACAAGGGCGTTAAAGGACCTAACCACCTACCAGTTATATGCTGGGCTTTATTGATTACTTATCTTATTACTCAGTCTGCTTCCTTTTATAACAAAAAATTATGAAAATCATATGATTCAAAATATTGATTAAATTTAATTAAAAACAATAAATATGCATGTACAGTATTTTCCCCTTACTTATGAAGAGAGTAGATGAGATCACAGATACTCATGAGTTAATATTTATTATAAAGAGTGCAGAGAGATAATAAGTAAAGTGTATATATATTTAATGAGTATAAAATGAAAAGATTGATTTAAAATTTCAGACAAAAAATTTATTACTTAAAAATCATCATAAGAGAGATTCTTTCTTATTAAAAAAAATTAGAGGAAGTATTACTTGACGTTGTAAGTGAATTTGTGAAATCATATTGTCCAACGAGAAAGAAGAGGGTCCGGCAAATTAAAGAAACAAAAATTAAAATAATAGGACTCGACCCGGCTTGTAATTTTACACAGGACGTGTATGTTGAACTATAAATTAGCGAGAGAATCAAGACGATAAAATAACGGGAAAATAATAAAAAAATTATATATTAAATTTCAAAAAGATAAATAGACTATGCTGACCGCTTTTGTAATGATTTTGACTACTATTGTAATGATTTTGATAAGTTAAAATCTATCAAAATCACTTATTTATCATTTTGAAATTTAATAAGTACTTTTTTTTAATCATTGTTCCTGAAATAATTCTCCACACAATGTTCATTGCAAATCTTATAACATTATGATCGCATAGAAATTACTACTTTCAGTCCTTAATATAAGAGTTCATTTAATTTTTATTTTAGTCCTAAATATAAAACTCCAATTCACTTTATTTTTCATATTTATCTATTTTTTTTCAAAGTAATCCTTATAATAATGATAGTTGTAGCTAATACACTTGATTAGCATGAATATTTTTCAAAAGACAGTATCTATTTATTACAAATAACTAATTTAACTAGTTTTTTAATTAATGAAATTAGTCAACTAGTTTTTTTATTAAGGACTGGAGGTAGTATTACCTTCAATCTTTAATATAAGAGCTAATTTGATTTTTTAATTTGGTCTTGAATATAAGATTCTAATCCACTTTATCTCTTATATTTATTTATTTTTTTCAAGGTAATCTTTGTAGTAGTTGCTCATATTAAATGTTTCGTCAAATGGTAGTTCTAGCTAATACACATAACTAGTAAGGGTATTTTAAAAAAGACAACACCTATTTATTACAAATAATTAGCTTAAAAAATTTCTTAATTTATTCAAATTAATTAACTAGCTCTTATATTAAGGATCGAGGTAGTCTTATAACATTCACATCAGGGATCATTGGCTGCACATTAGAGGAGTCCCAGATTAAATATGCACATATCCTTTCTGGTTTGAATATATACATAAATGCATGATCAGCATAAACATTATTGTTATTAATATAAGATCTATTTAACTAATTTGATTATATTTAGGAAGTTAAGTAAGTTAATTAATTATAAAAAATATGACATACTTTTTCTA